AAGAAGCGCTAGAAAGCGGGCAACCGTCCGCTCCTGCGGCGAATGTTTATTGAGGCCCTATTTTGTGCCGGACGGACTGAGACAGACGTGCCCCCCGGGGAAGGCTTCGAGCAGGCCCCGGGCCGGCCTAACTGTGGGGGTGGGGGCGGGGGACACGCAATCCAAGGGCTTTTCATTTATTTTATTTTATTTTTCTAAGATTTTATTTATTCGTTCATGAGAGGCACACCGAGGGAGGCAGAGACACAGGCAGAGGGGCGTGATGTGGATCCCAGGGCCCCGGGATCACCCCCTGAGCCAAAGGCAGCCGCTCAACCACTGCGCCCCCCTCCCCCCAAGGGCCTTTTCTGTGCAAGGGTCTCCCGGTTATCCTCACAACAACCCCGTGAAACAAATCCCCGTGAAACATTGTACAGTTCTTTTACTCTTATTTCAAGAAAATAGTAGCTGTTTCAGACAAAATTCACAGTCCAGGGCTCAATTTTAAGGTTTCTTTTCCCTCTGGGAGGACCTCCCCTTAAGATCACCTCTACACTAAATAATTTCTTCAGAATTTACCAAAACCTTGAAAGCTACTGGGTGTCTGGATGTCACCTCCCTTACTGCCTCTAAATTGGTTAACAAGGAAGCAAATGGTTTTCAGAGACACAAGACTAATTGTGATTGGTTAAATGCACCACTTAGCACACTGGCTCTCCCTTCACTGAGGATGCTGTCATTTCTACATTTATATTTGGTGCTGTCATTTCGGTAGTAATAGTTTGTCTTGGTCTGGAAATCTGCTCCCCCCCCCCCCCCGGGTTGGTTATCAAGCCTTGGTCCTACACCCTTCTAACTGGAGGATGCTCCTGGGGTCAGGCAGGTCCCACAAGCTCCCACACCACAGGTGAGATGTGGGTAATTATCAGGGAGAGCTGAGCTGTGTCCTGAAGGAACCTCTTGGAAGATCGAATTGCTCAAGGAATCCCCCAGCCTCCCACCCCAAGAGAAGTTCTAGATTACCTATGCTGACCTTTTATTTTCACAGAGTAAACAGGCCCCAAATAAGGGACTTCTCAATCAGCCTATCAGGTAAAGGGCAGACTCAGGCGTGCCAACTGCCCGTGTGGGTTGTTCCTCTGAGTGCATCACCTTCATGGTGTTCTTAAGTCAGGCCCCAAATTCTCCACCTTTAGCTCCTTTCAACCCAAATGTGAACCTCAGTCTCAGGAAAGAAATAGGAGAAGACATCAGCTCCCTACCCCACTTTCAATAGCTACACTGAAGTCCTAAAGATCTAAATGACCTATGGTAAATTGGTCCCCTTCAGAAGCTATCAGAAAATTATACTTCCAGGGGCGCCTGGGTGGCTCAGTCAGTTGAACACCTGACAACCAAATCTTGATTTTGGCTCAGGTTTTGATCTCAGGATGGTCAGATAGAGCCCTGCATGGGGCTATGCACCCAGCAGGGAGTCTCCTTGAGATTCTCTCCCTCTCCCTCTTCTCCTCCTGTCCCTTCCCTCCACCCTTCCCCATCTGCGAAAAGAAAGAAAAGAAAGAAAGAAAGAAGAAAGAAAAAAGAGAGAAAGAAAATTATACTTCCATTTTAAATGTTCTTGAAAACTCTGCCCTTCCTATGTCAGGAGATAATCTGAGATTTTCTTTATCTGATAACAAAAGCTGGATAGGACTAGAGAACACCCCATTTAGGACCTCTCAGCCTTCACTGGAATGCTGAAGCCTGGTGAGAATGCTCAATAGGAACGCTTTTTTTCTGAGCCCTCTGCCTGCTATGTGTTGTTGCAGTCAGTAATGTAGGAAGCCTTGTAAAAAGTCTGGTTCAAGAGCTCTTTGAAAGTCGCTATGCTAAAAACTAGAAAGTCAAATCAGGAGAATGCAATGATAAAATAAAACTGCAGGAAAATAAATTGTGTCCAGCTGGCTCTTAAATCCAGGCAAGAAAACTCCTGCCCCTGGCATCCAGCCTCACACTGCATCGGGTCCTCCTCTTGCCACACCCCACCCCTTATGGAGAAGTTCCTGATGGACCAAAGAGAATGATGGACATGCCCCCTCAACCTTCTAGAACACATTTGGTATAAAGGACCCTAAATTCCCGGTGCAAACAGCCTCAAGGACCCATCCCTGTATGCCACAGTCTCCTCCCTGTCCTGGATGGGGTCACTGTTAGGATGAGAGGGGACAAGCTTTTTAGCCTAATGTAGCATGTTTAGATATTTAGGCATATGTTATATGGACCTCTGTTTATTCTCTTGCCCCATGCACTGCAAAAGTTAGGGGTGTCCCTGCACATTAGGGTTTTCCTAAAAGCAAAAAGCAATCATCTCAGTTTGGAGAAGAGAGATTCTGATTATTAAAAAATGTCTTGCCTTTCATTTATTTATCTAATGCTATGGACCTAATCTATAAACTTTGCAAATCTTTTAATTGACCCTATTTTTCTTAGTCTGAGATTGTTTTCATTTTCACTGCTACCATGATTGTAATAACATTCCATGCAGATGGGTTCCTCCCAGTGCTGACTGCTTAGGTACCAGTCATTTCAAGTAATGGGAGAGCATACTTGAGGAGGCTGGGTCTTAAGCAAGGCCTTAAAGATATGGCTGGCTAGAGGAGAGGATCCTGGGCACTCAAGCAACAAGAGCCTTCTACTTATTTTTTTAAAAGATTTTATTTATTTATTCATGAGAGACAGAGAGAGAGAGGCAGAGACCCAGGCAGAGGGAGAAGCAGGCTCCCTGCAGGAACCTGATGCCAGACTCGATCCCCAGAACTGGGATCACACCCTGTGCCAAAGGCAGATGCTCAACGGCTGAGCCACCCAGGCATCCCAAGAGTCTCCGACTTAAAAGTTTGTCAAGGTCTGTCCAAATGGCCCTGGTGACAGTGGTACTCTGCTCTTACTCCCTGCTAAGCCTAGCAGCGAGCTCCAAGGAAGCTCTGGTTTCTTTCACTCTGTCTTCAACATGTTCAACTTTCTTCCATATTGATAGATTTTTCTCTTGACCTTGATAACTAACCCCCTAGCTATTGTCTCATTGCTTTCTATCTTTTCCCTGCTACATATCTTATGTAAGCAGTCTGGAGTCAGCGGTCAGGCTCCTCTCCACTGGTTCCCTCCTTGGGCTCAGTAATCTGGCTTCCATCCTCACTGTGCCAGCAGCCCTGCTCCCTAAAGGTGAACTCACCCTTTTTCCTTCCATTGTGAAAAATGGTAAGCAACTCCCTTTGAAAACTTTCTCCCTCCTTGGCCCATAGGATATTTGGTGTCACAATAAGTTTTGAGTTTTCTTTTTTCCTTTTTTTAAAAAAAAAGATTATTTATTTTTAAAGATGCTATTTATTTATTTGACACACAGAGAGAAACAGCATAGGCAGGTGGAGTGGCAGGCAGAGGGCAGAAGGAGAGCGAGAAGCAGGCTCCCCACTGAGCAGGGAGCCCTATACTGGGCTCCATTCCAGGACCCTGGGATCGTGAGCCCAGCCAAAGGCAGATGCCCAACTGACTGAGCCACCCAGGTGCCCCAAGTTTTGGGTTTTCACAAAGAACCTTATAAAGTCTATTTCCTTGTGGAAATCTAATTTGCAACTAGAATGAGTGCTATGAAATGAGCCACTAAGACAACTCCATGGACAAACCTGCCAGGACTTGCTGAGATACGGATAGCTTCTTATAAAAATATTTAGTTACTGTGCTCTTCCTGTTTATATGTATATTATTCTGTTTATATTAAAAATGCTTAATTTGGAAAATCATGTCAGTTTCCTTTTCCAGTGACTTTTAATTTTATCAACCACAGCATAATCAAGTCTTTATTCTAGGGTAGCCAAATGTCCCAATGTGCCCAAGACTGAGGGGTTTCCCAGGATAGGAGACATTCTGCACCTAAAACCAGGGCAATCCTAGGAAACGAGCACAATTAGTTAACCTACTTGGTCTTTCAAAAGAACCCCTTTTCTGGCTCTCTCTTTACCTTTCAGGAATTCAGAAAACACTGCTTCCCAGAAATGCAGCATTTTACTTGCTTCAGCTGCTTTAGACTTTCAAAATTGTTCTGATTTCATTGACTTAGTAAATGCTTACTAACTCATCAAAGAGGATAGTCATGAGCTTGAGGTTCTAACAGACTTTGGAGTATGGAAACTACCTGTCTAGTCTTGAAAGGAAATGTTTCTCTCCCTTAAAAAAGCCTTCCGTGCAAATGAGACCAAGAGAGGTGGGCTACAGCATTTGCTTAGTTCTTGTCTTGAAGTCTGGAGAGGCCAGTATATGCTGCCTTTATCATGAAAAGTGGGAAGGGTTTCCCACATTCTCCATTCTTATAATTTTAGATCCAGCTAATATTTTGCTTTAAAAAACCAATAACAGGGGGGTCCCTGGGTGGCTCAGCGGTTTAGCGCCTGCCTTCAGCCCAGGGTGTGATCCTGGAGTCCCAGGATCGAGTCCCACGTTGGGCTCCCTGCATGGGACCTGCTTCTCCCTCTGCCTGTGTCTCTGCCTCTCTCTGTGTGTGTGTGTCTCTCATGAATAAATAAATCTTTAAAAAAAATAAAATAAAAATAAAAAACCAATAACAGCAAAAATACTTCCCTGTACCTGTATAAAAGGTAAGTAAAGGAAGATCTCGCCTCTGTGATTTTAATCAATGCATACCCTTCTTGGCTTGGTTTTGTTGGAGATAGAAGTGGAGGAAATAAAGGGAAAAACAGAAAGAGGTAAAGAAGATTTTAGGCTTGTCCCAAGGAAGTGGATTACAAATAAAGCCTTAAGAACTGACTAGGACAGTTTAGCCACAGAAGATCTTGAAAGTCATGTCATCTCTTTGGTACTGGGCATGACTAACCAAGATATCAAAGAACAATCACCCATAACAGTAGCTAAGGTGTGTTAAAGTGTGTGCTGAAGCACTGCGTTGTAAGCTTCGCATGCAGGCTTTCATTTGATCTTCACAGTAGCCTTGAATAACGGGTTCCATTTTTCTCTTCATTTTACAGATGGAGAAAAATGAAGATAGAACTATTGAGGGGTGTAATCCAGACTCCAAAGACAGCAGAGTCCAAAGCTCATGTTTTAATCACCGTGCTATTTCTTTGAGGAGAGGAATGGGTCTTATTCACTGTCGGCAGACTGGGTGTTTTAAGCTATAGAGAAGTTGTACCAGCTGGAAAAATTGAACTTTGCTCTTACTTATTGAAGAATGTCATACTGGGCAGCCGAAAGCTCTAAACAAACAGAATCTCCAAACTACAAGGAATGGGTTTAACATCTGTTGTTAAATGTCACAGCAGGAAACGGAATTTCTCTGCCATTTGTAGATAAGTTGTGTTTGATTTGTTTGTCTATTTGGAGAGAAAGGATTTAATACAAGTGTCCATAAAACCTATACTTCAATTAGAAAGCATTTCAGATTCTATCTTTTGGAAAGAGCATTAAACAAAGAAAAAAAAAGGGGGGGGGAGGTAGAAAACCAAATTATTAAGCTAAGATTAAGATGTACAAAGAATCTGGCATCTTTTGTCTTTTGTTTAGGTAAAACAAACAACAACAACCACAAAAAGCCTTCAATTTCCCTTACCCATCTTTGGACTCACTGTCTGTATTTGAATGCAAGCCAGTTTATATCAGCATTGGCTAAGAAGTCTGAGTGGTCACTTAACTACCAACAGAGCATAAAAAATGTGTTCAAGACACTGACTCCCCCAGAGAGCAAAGGCAAAATTATACCAATATGTCTGTTGTTTTTTCCTTCCCCTGTGCTACATAAAACAAATTTATCTTGGAATGGGCAGTATTCAATTTAACATTGGATCTCTTTGTGTTTCCAGGTCAGGCGGGAACACATATGCTCCTAGAGGAAAATAAACTGCAATGTATTTTTAGCATCCATTGGAAGTGCTTTCAGCTGAAGATATTCTGCAGGATCCAGACTATTTCACTGAAGGCCAAAGGACTGGCCACAATGTCACCTAGAATTCTGGAACTTGTCCTCTGGTTCTGTAAGTAGCAGAGCCCCTGAAACCCTCACCCCACCCTCCATCATTCTCAGTCCCAATCCTGTTGCAATCATCTTCTTTCAGAGAAAAAAGAAAGAAAATCATTCCAGAAAAAGACAAATGAAAAACACCTGTAGAATAGTCATGACAAATGGTGCTAACTGTAGCGCACCTGGCACTTTGAGATGAAGCATGTCCGGGAGGAGGGAAGAGGGGGCATGAGAGGATGTCCCCCATTCCTTTTCTGCCTAATGCTGAAGGTAAGCCATGAACAGGAAGCCACTATATGGTGCATCTTTTTTGGAAAGTGCCTGTGGGCGCCCTTGTGGGATAGAGCAAGGCACCATTCCAGCAGACCTAGCAGCTCCATGGCATGGTGAGTGACAATCAGATGGTTTCAGCTTCCTGGCCTTCCCTCCAAGAGTGTTGCATGCAGCCCTGGCAGTAGACTTTTAGTTACTAGTCTGAAATGCGGTAAGTTTGTTCATGGGATTTGGCGACAGTGAGACAAATGGTTTAAGACATGGCCTCTGCATAGTTTTGAAAAATATTTTTCATTTTTAAAAGCAAATTTAGTTAACTGGTAGCTTATAAATAAACGACACGGGAATATTGCATCCTCCTTGTGAAACGTTGTATTTCTAAAATAAATCGTCTCCAGTGACATCTACAATGACACAGAACCCATATCATAAAGCACAGCATACCATCAGAACTGCAAAGTCTTCCCAAAGAACTCTAGTTTAGGTTATTATAATAAAACAACGTATTTATTAAAAAAAAAAAAACAGGGAAGCCAAAGTTACCATTTATGTTCTTCCTGATATTTTATTACTCCTGTAGCAAAAAGGACTTTCTGTTTCCTCTTCCGTAATACGGAACAGTAAAACCTGATTCCCTACCTACCCTACCGTATCCTATGAAACAGTGCAATGTCTTGGAATAATGCCATGTAAATATAAGGAACTCTGGCATGTTGAAATACAAGCGAGTTGGTCATGGCTTCGTTATTCACCCAACAAATACTTCCATAAGGCTTTGTGCAGGGTTCCTGAATACAAGAGATCTCAAGAAGGCTTCTGTCCCTCTTGTCTTCATCAAGGTGGAAAAATAAAGTGTCATCTACTGTAGATTTAAATAGTCTTCAAAAGTGTGGTCCTCTGATACGTTAAAAAGCTAGTGCCCTTTTCAAAATGTTCAGAGCAGATTTGAGGGAAGTCTAGTGGACTGCTAAGTTTCATTCCTTTGTTCCCAAACTGCCCTGGCTCTTCAGATGTTACAGAACAATTTGAGGAAGCTTTTCCCTTCCTCTGTAAGATAATACTGTTCCATGGTCTTTGTGGTTCTCGAGTACAATTATATTGACATGTAATTTACATTCTCAAAACCAAGAATATAAAGTTTATGTATTAAGAGTTTGGGTTTTGTTCTAGCACAGAAGATGAAATGTATTTTTTTTACATTGGCTTTTTAAAATAAGCCTTTTAAAAACAATTTAACATGATGTACAACTCAAATAAAAATATGCCTCAAGATGAACTGGAAAAACTGTAAGAGTTTTGTCCTGGGAGTTTAAGTTTGTAAGGGCAGAGAACTAATTTTCCCTGTAACCTTCTGAGTTTTTGGCTGAGGTCTCTGTAATAATAGATTGACAAGAGAAAGACTAATGCAAGTTTATTAACATGTATACCTCATGTAAAAATGGGAGATACCCAGGAGGGAAAATGAGTAATTCAGGGATGCCTGGGTGGCTCAGTGGTTAAGCATCTGCCTTTGGCTCAGGGGGTGATCCCAGGGTCCTGGGATGAGTCCCACATCGGGCTCCCCACAGGCAGCCTGCTTCTCCCTCTGCTTATGTCTCGCCTCTCTCTCTTTCTGTGTCTCTCATAAATAAATAAAAAATAAAATCATTTAAAAAAAAGGAGTAATTCAAAAGGGTGATTTAGAACTATAGCTTATGTAGTATCCTCAGCTAAAAACAAGGGAAGATGTGGGGGAAGGCCAGTGAGGGGCAGCAGGATTGATGGGCACATTTAAATCAGCACCATCTCTATTGATGAGAGTCTGAAGTTGTCCCCAGGGACTAAGCTTTATCCTGCCTGGTAGAAAGGGATACTTTTGTAAATTTATGTATGTGCTGCTTTCAGGTAAATGGGAGAAGATACAGCTTTTCTCATATCTGCTTCTCAGTTGCCTTCAGCTCAAAATAATCCACTTGTACTCAAGTGGCATATTCTGGGGCAGCATATTCTGTTACCCTTTGGGACTGAAAGTAAGGATGAGAGTCTTTTTTATGGGCCCAAATGGGAAACTGGAAACCATGAGCATGCTATGCCTAGACAATCAGAGGGACCCGGGAGGAGGACAAAGCCAGTCCACCAAGAAAGAAAAAGGCAGACATGGAATGATAGCAGATATAAAAGAGAACAAAATTTCTTGAATTTCCAGCAAAATTTTAGTTTCTTGTCTGATATTCATGAGTCTTAGCTACATTCCTTGCCCTAAAGACTTGGAATAAATCCTTTGCTTTTGCCAGAACACCTTGAATTGGTTTGTCTTTGAAACCAGTGGAATCTTAGCATAGACGTTCGTATCTGAAAGTGAGTTTGCAAGTTACAAACCATTGAAGAAAACAGTCATGTCAAAGCAGATGGGGTGAGAAGTGAATAGTCCTGGAAACAAAGGAGAATATGTTAAAGCGTGTTCAGTTCTTGCAGCCTTTCAAGGAAGTGCAAGGAGAGCAAGAGGAGATAGGCTTTGGGCCAAGACTGCTTGGAGAAAAGCAGAGTAAGAATATAATCATGAACCAGCAGGCTTCTGACTGTAGCCAGCCATCTCAGACTGCTCAAAGTCAGCCTAAACAGCATTTACAAAGATGAAGTATGGATCAATACAACCAGATTCTGTGTTATGACTGCTTTGGAAAATGAAAGTGCTGGGTTCATCGAGAAAATGTATAATCTCAGCAATTAGAATGGAAATTCGATGAGAAAAAAGAGGTGCTGAGGACTTCTAAAACTTCAGCTTTAACTCTTCAAACCCTCCGTATGTGTCCCCTTCATTCATCCTATCAGATAAACACCATGAGGGCTGCCCCCACTGTAAAATAGTCCAGCTCAAGTAAATCTGGAGATACGGGCACCATTTTGCAATACATTAGAGGGAAAAAGTGCCACCATAAGCTAAAGAAAATGAAAAACAGGAAACATTTTCAAAACATGTAACATAGGGTTAATATTCAAGATATATAAAGAATTTCTACAAATCATTTTGCAAATGATGACTATCATAATAAAAAGTGCAAAGAAAACAGCTTATAAGAATACAAACATACATATGGAAAAGTGGTTTAATTTTGATTGTAATTAAAGTAATGAAAATTAAAATAGAAGACCATATTTAGCCTATCAAATTGCCATAGATTTTTTATGTATGTATACTAAACTTTATTTTCTTACAATTTTTTGAGGTGTAATTTACATACATCACTGTATAAGCATCATGGTTTGACTTATGTATATTATAAAATCATTACCACGGTAATCATTTATATCTGTCATCTCATACAAATACAATAAAAAGAAAATGAAGAAAAAAATTAGCAATATAAATAGAAGAATAAGGAAAAAGAGCACTCTGAGATTGAATTACAGCTAGGAGTATTCGTACAATTTTGTTTAGGGTATTTAATAACATGCAGCAAAATCCTAAAGAAATAATCTGCTCCTGAGAATTGTCCTAAAGAAATAGAGAGGCTCCCAAAGATCTTTGTATAACAATATTCAATGAAGAAAATTGAAAACACTCTGGACTTCCAGTAATAGCAACCTGGACTTCCAATAATAAAATAAATGATTATGTAAATGTTGGCATGCCCATATGATAGAATATATGTAGCCATTAGAAATTGTTTTCCAGGGGGTGCTTGGGTGGCTCAGTTGGTTAAGCATCTGATTCTTGATTTTGGCTCAGGTCATGACCTCAGGGTCTTGAGATCAAGACCTGTGATGGGATCGCCCTGGGCATGGAACCTACTTAAGATTCTCTCTCCCTTGCCCTCTGCTCCATCCCCCCCCCCACAGGTTCTCTAAATAAATAAATAAGAAATTGTTTTCCAAGAAAATGTAATAATAACTTTAAAAATACCTATCCAATTATATTTGTTGAATGTATCAAGATATAATTCATCATATAAAACATGGCCTGGGGCAGCCCTGGTGGCTCAGCAGTTTAATGCTGCCTTCAGCACAGGGAGTGATCCTGGAGACCCAGGATCGAGTCCCATGTCAGGCTCCCTGCATGGAGCCTGCTTCTCCCTCTGCCTGTGTCTCTGCCTCTCTCTCTCTCTCTCTCTCTCTCTGTGTGTGTGTGTGTGTGTGTGTGTGTCTTTCATGAATAAATATATAAAATCTTTTAAAAAAAAAGGCCTGACTTTGATGTAACCAGATACGTACATACCTATATGTATATGTACATGTGTGTGTAAAAATACACAATAGAGAAAAGCCTGAAAATATATGCATCAAATTGTCAGTAGCTGTTACCTCTGCCTACTGGAATTACAATTTTATTTTCTTCCTTTTTCTGTTTTCCAAATTTTCTATAATATGTATTATCTTTAGCATTAGATTGAGTTATATTTTAAAAGAAAGCCAAGTAAGGGCATCTGGGTGGCTCAATCACTTAAGCCTCTGACTTTGGCTCAGGTCATGATCTCAGGGTCCTGGAATTAGCCTGGCAGGCTCCCTGTTCAGTGGTGAGTAGTGGGGAGTCTGTTTGTCCCTCTCCCTCTGCACTTCCTTCCTCCCTGCCAGTTCATGTTCTCTCTCTCAAATAAATAAATAACATCTTTAAAAAATATAAAAATAAAAGAAAGTCATACAAAAACGTATATGGATTTTGTTCAAGCCATCAGAACACTTGTTGTGTTTAATGTTTTATTTCTATATTTCAATTTGTGATTTGAGAGCAAATATGTTCACGAGGAAATCCCTCCCTGACCTGGAATCTAAGCTTCCTTCTTGGCCTTAACGTACCCATTATCCAACATGTGCAGTTTCTCCAAGTTAATTGCATAAGACTCTTAAAACGGGGCATTTTTAAATACCTTTCAACAATATCAAGAGTATGGTTGCCTGGTATCACAATACAAAACACGTAGTACAGGGGATCCCTGGGTGGCGCAGCGGTTTGGCGCCTGCCTTTGGCCCAGGGCGCGATCCTGGAGACCCGGGATCGAATCCCACGTCGGGCTCCCGGT